TGACAGCTCAGAGCCTGGAGCCTGCGTTGGATTCTGTGTCTCCCTCTCTCTGTCCCTCCCCAGCTCATGTTCTGTCTGTCTCTCTCTCAAAACTAAATAAACATTTAACAATTTAATTCCAGGATAATTAGCATACAGTGTTTCAGGTATATGATATAGTGATTCAACAATTCTATACATTACTCAGTGCTCATCACTTAGTACTCTTAATCCCCTTACCTGTTTCACTCATGTCTCCACCCCTCCCCCCCGTAACTATCAATTTGTTCTCTATAGTTAAGCGTCTGGTTTTCTTTTTTGCTTGCTTCTTTTTTTATTTTGTTTCTTAAATTCCACATATGAGTAAAATCATATGGTATTTGTCTTTCTCTGACTGACTTATTTCACTTAGCATAATACTCTCCAGAGCCATGTGGTTGTAAATGGCAAGATTTCATTCTTTTTTTTATGACTGAGTAATATTCCATTATACACACACACACACACACACACACACACACACACACACACACCATATCTTCTTTATCTATTCATCTATTGATGGAAACTTGGGCTGCTTCCATTTTGGTTATTATAAATGCTGAAATAAACATAGGGGGGCATATATCTTTTTGAATTAGTGTTTTTGTTTTCTTTGGGTAAATACCCAACAGTGGAATTACTGGATCATATGGTAATTCTATTTTTAATTTACAAAAAGCTCTTTGAGAATGCTTTGTTTATATTCATTTTTCTTGTTTATCTTAGCTAAACTCTAAAATTATAATTTAATTATCCATTAAGATGATTGCAAAAGTTTAAAAATTAAGTTACATAATTTTTGGAACTTGTAAACATTCAAATTGCACCAAGTGTTAAACCAGGGCCTGGTTTCTGATCCTAATTCGGCCATCTCTTCCTCTCTCTGGGCCTCAATTTTCTCTGCTATAAAATGGGCATGTAAAGGAAGTTTAGGCTGAAGGATTAAATGACATAATGGATCTTAAATGCCAGCCCAGCAGCTGGCTCAATGAAAACTGGTTCTCCTAACATGGTCTGTAATGTCCATTTTCTTGCAATTCTAATGCAATACTTTTTTTTTTTTTTTTTGCAAGCAATTCTTAAGTAAGAGTCCAGCCCACACATGTGTGCCAATGCTCTTAAAGAGATGCTTTGAGAGAAAGAGGAGCTCAAACAAACTCATTAACACAGTGGAGACAAAACCATCTCACAGTCCCAGTTAATCAGATAATAACAGGCAACGGATAGTGTTTTGACACTGTCATTTTGTCCTTCAGTGTGTTTTGCTTGGGTTGCAGAAAACAAAAAAAAAAATTAGATGTGGTAGAAATAATCAACACAAAATAAAACTGACAATGGCTAAAACTACATGTGGTAAACATTTATTATGGATGGAAAAGCAAACTGAATGATCCCATCTTTGTTGGTAACATTAAACATTGCAAAGTTGACCCCTGGGAAGATTCCACTTGGTAGACATAATCAACACAAAATAAAACTGACAATGGCTCAAACTGCTTCCAGGAAAAGGTGGAATTGGTGGAAATAATGACTAGAAACTTCATAATAACTGAAGCAAAAATCAGTAAAAATTGGTAAAGATAAAAGATAACCGAAGAATCTGAACTTTCTTGTAAAATTGATGGAGAAAAGAATATATCTTGATGAAAATTCAATATAGAAAAAGATCTAGAAAAGTTAGAAATTGTTTAACTGTGCTATACAGAAAATTTATCAAGGAATTAAATTGGCTTCATGGAGTTGATTCCTTAAATACTTTAATAAATCCATTAATAATGGTCTAATTCTGAGTAAAAAGTTTACATACCAACAGTTGGCAGGGATTCGGAGAGAGAATTCTCAAATTAGATGAAGGGTTTGCACTGTAAGCGTCACTTTACAGTCTCCAAATACTCTCATACTCATCGCTTTATTGGATTCTCCTAATAACGTTTTGAGGGGACAGGGCAGGATTCATTCCTTCCATTTTACAGATGTAAACACTGAGATTCAGGACACCCAGCATGTTTAAGGCAAGGTCTAATTTAGGATAGTCTGGTAAACTTTCTCATCCCTGTGACCCTAAACCTGATAATGCTTTACTTCCTGGCCAGACCAGATCCCTTCTAATTCTGATCTTCACCCATCCCCCCTCTTTCTTCCAGTAGGACAAATGGGAAAAAGAAGGAGGAGGGGAGTAAAGAGGGTTTAGAAGAGGGCCTGGGCAATGCAACACTTAGGGAGGGGAAGGGACTTCCCTGTCACATAGCAAACATGTCACAGGCACTTTTCTTACTCAGCTCAGAAAAGAGAGGGGCACTTGGGTGGCTCAGTTGTTTAAGTGTCCGACTTTGGCTCTGGTCATGATCTTGCGATTCACAGGTTAGAGACCCATGTTAGGCTCTGTGCTGACAGCTCAGAGCCTAGAGCCTGCTTTGGATTCTGTGTCTCTCCCTCTCTCTGCCCCTCCCCCACTCGTGCTCTGTCTCTCTCTCTCTCTCTCAAAAATAAACACTAAAAAATTTTTTAAAAATTTAAAAAAAGGGAGCAGAGGGGCTATGATATTTGGGGAAATGTATGTATGGGACTGGGCTTTTAAGGCTGGGCAAAAAGGATGAAAATGAGATAGGCAGTTTGAAAATGATAGTGCCCGCGGCATCTGGCTGGTTCAGTTGGTGGAATGTGCAACTTTTGATCTCAGGGTTTTGAGTTTGAGCCTTACATTAGGTGTAGAGATTACTGAAAAAAAAAAAATCTTAAAGAAAAAAACAAAAGAAAATGACAGTACCCGATATATTTGGGCAGAGTGAGTCATAAGGAACAGAAGTGTAACTAGAGTTAGGTGGGGTGAAGCTGAAGAGACTGATTGCAGCAGGGCTGTAGACCACATTAACCTCTGATACAAGGAACCTGGCCTTTCTCACGTACGCTTGAGGTTCTCGAGTGGGCTGGCTAGTGGAGCTTGAATGTTCTAGTGTTCAGAACATCAAGGAATAACAATATCCTAAATCTAAAATACCATAACAGGATTTATGCTAAATAGGGGAATCATCTGATGCCATGTTCCATATGCTAGGAGAGTTGGACACAGAAGAAAAATTATTTTTTTAAGTATAAGACTTATTCAGTCAATAGACAATGTTTTGTTTAAGGAGAGCTTTGCAGACCCTTTACAGTAACTCTGTTCCTCCCTCTTCACTCCCCATCTCCACAGAGATCTCTGGCCCAGAGATTAAAAACCCGTGCTATAAGAATTCAGATAGAAAGAAAATTAATGTGCCTAAAATTCATTCTAGGGAAGGTAGGATTTTGGTTTGAATTTCAAGAATGAGGAGAAAAGGAGGAAATGGCTTTGGAAAGACCGGAAGAAGTAAAAATTTGAGAATAGGTAATGAGAATAGAAAACATTCTACTAATTTAATGGTTTTTTATTAATTGTAAATAACCACCATTATTTGTTTTTTTTTTTATTTTTTTTTCAACGTTTATTTATTTTTGGGACAGAGAGAGACAGAGCATGAACGGGGGAGGGGCAGAGAGAGAGGGAGACACAGAATCGGAAACAGGCTCCAGGCTCTGAGCCATCAGCCCAGAGCCTGACGCGGGGCTCGAACTCGCGGACCGCGAGATCGTGACCTGGCTGAAGTCGGACGCTTAACCAACTGCGCCACCCAGGCGCCCCTACCATTATTTGTTTTAATAGTGGAACTGTTGAGCTCACAGAAAAACCAGACAGGCCTCATCCCGGAGCACCACAGAGGGCAACAGGAAGCCGTGGTAAGCTTTTAGACAGCAAAGAATTGTTGTTGGATTTTGGAAATTTTTTGAAAATAGTCTTATAACTTAAAAAATTAGATGCTCTTTTTTAAACAGTTCAGGCAATAAGAAAATAAGAATTACTTGAAATCTGACACCCTTTCCTCCAAGATAATCACTGATAGTATTTGGGGAACCTCTTTGCTTAAGTCTCACTATGCTTTTATAGACTATCGTCTCAAACTTCACGTAAATTGGACCATTTAAACATGCTGTTCTGTAATCAATGTGTTTCCCTCCAGAATAAATGGTGAATAGCTTTTCGTGTCAATAAATAGATCTACATCATCATTTCAAATAGCTGCTTACTACTGTATTGTTTGTATATACAAATGGACATTTACAATACCCCGATAATCAAAAACCTCAATGTACCTTGTGCATTCATCTTTTTCAAAATGTTTCATTCTCTTTTTAAGGTAAAAAAAATTAAAGTAATGGAGCCCGGTCGAAAAGCAACCTCTTTTCACATTTGCATTTAAGTTGCCAAATCGTCCTCTGATTTGCAGGGAGACCAGGAGGGAGCTGCTGAATTAGCTCTGGTGTGACAGTGGCAACGGGGCTGACGATGAGAGTACAGACTCACAGGTGATCTAACCCATCTAGGCCTATCCTCAGTGGGTTGGCTTATTCCTTCCTTTTTTCCTCTCTTTCACTTCTTTTTCTTAACATGGAGGAAGAAACGAGAACTGCATCTCCCAGCATTTCGCAGGCACCACCCCCTGGGAACTCTAGTACCGCGTCTGAGAAGGGTCCGGAAGGAGGGCGGGAGACTGTGGGAGCATGCTGGGAAGTGTAGTCCAGCAGGGGGCGGCAGCGGGTGTATGTGTGTGTAAAGAGATTGGAGACGTTGCAAACATCGCTACTTTGAGTAAAGAGATTGGAGACGTTGCAAACATCGCTACTTTGAGAAGAGGGCTCGGGGAGACCTAACTTTCCTCACAAATGGTTTCTGAGTTTACAAAGGCCGCTAAGGGATGGTTGACTTTACTCCATTGTCCGTGACCAGGGCGGGCGCGGCCACTCTGCATAGGGCGCGCGGCTGGAGGCGCAGGCCGCGCAGGCCAGGGGCGAGCCGGAGCAGGGCATGCCGGGAATTGTGGTCCCGGCGCGCTGAGGCTGTGGGACGTGTCGCGGCGCCGCGCAGGCTCCTCCTTCCCCGCCCTTCTTAGCGGTCCCCCGCCCCCTCCCTCCGCCTCCTCCTCCTTCGCCCGCAGCCGAGCGTCCCCTCCCCCCACCCGTCGGGCTCTTCGTCGGCTACTGCAGAGGATTCAGAGCCGAATCTGAGGAGGAGGCTCTCGGTCCCTGCGCGCCATCCGCCACCTTACTGGACACAGGCGAGGGAGTGAGAGCGTCGTCGCTGTAGCCTCCAGAGAAGACAAGGGCATCGCCGCCTCCGCCGCCGTTTTCGCCTGCAGCGGCTCGCCGGTGAGGAGACCTCCCCCCCCCTCTCCTGGTCCGCTCTCTAGGAGCCTGGGCCGGTGGTACTTACGGAGAACGAGAGTGGGGGCTGCGGAGCCCCCACGCGGGTTGGGGGAAGGGGGTTGAGATCGCGATGGAACGGCGGGTTGGCAGGGGAGACTTGTCCAGGCGCGGGCTGGGGGTGGGGTGAGGGTGGGACCCAAGCAGGTTCGGGGTGGGGGGGGGCGGCGACGAGGGAAGGGGACTTTTAATAGCGATTGACCCGATATGGGACAGGAGCGTGAGCTTGGGAGGTCGGGGTGGAATTTGGGATGTTTTTGGGCGACATGGATGATGAGACTGGAGTGGGATGGCTTTTAATGGGGGAGGGGACTGAATGAGGGTGATGGATTTGGGGTTGGCTTGGAGCAGTTGACAGCTTGGGATCCAGCCGGGGTGCAAGGTGGGGAGATGATTTCAATAGACAGTGGAATTGTAGGGTTGGATAGGACCCTGGGGGAGGGGTGTTAATTCAGGAGGGTGGAATTTGGGATGGACCTAAGGCAGACTAAAGTAGGTGGTAGGGGCTGGGAGTAAGGGGCTTAGCATGGGTTGAGACCTGAGCTTGAAGTGGGCGTTTGCCCTCTGGGGGTGGTGTAATTTGTGGAGACTTATGGAATAGCGTGGGTTAGGAGAGCAGAGGAGGTAGAATTGGGGGTTTTTCTGGGGAGTGCTTATGGAGGTTGGAATAGGAGCTTGGTGGGGGTGGGACTTTCAATGAGAGGAGTATGATGGTGAGCTGGCAGGAGGAGGGTAAATTAGAAGTTAGGCCCAAAATGGGCAGGCAGAGATTGAAATTGGAGGGGGACACAGGGGATGGGATTTAGGGTGATTTTAGAGCCACTGGAAAAGGCATGGTGGCTCCCTGGGTTGAGTCAGAGGGCTCAGAAGACGCTGCTGGGCTAGACACAGTGAAAGAATAGTGGCAGGTGGTGCACAAGGTTGGGGGATGGTATCTTGAAGAAAATGCCCCTTTCCAAGGTGGTGGAGAGAGTTTTGGAAAAGGAGTGTCTGAGATGAACTGGTAGGACTGGAGGGGTGGTTGCTGATGGTGAGGTGGCAAAGAAGCTATTTAAGGAGTGGGAAACCTGGAGTTGCAGGTGCGGATGGGGCAGGGAGGATGGAGTGGGGCGGTGAGCAGGGCTGGGAAGAAGTGGGTTGGATGATTCTAGAGAGGAAAGATTCTTATGTCCTCCAAGAGACACGAGAGGGTAAGGGGTTGTACTTAAATGGACAGCTTTGGAGGCTGTGGTTAGGGGAGGGACAGTAATCAGAGGGGACTTTGCAGGGGACAGAGAAGGTACATTAAAGACTTTCTTTCCTAGAGGATGTCTTAAGCTGTTAGTTCGATCTTTTTGTTTCATTTGTATTAGTATCATATTCGGAAGTAAATCAACCCGAAAGGTGAAGTTAAGAGGGGCTTCAGTTAAAGTAGAATTAAGGGAGGGGGGGGCGACGGGAGGGTGTTTTCTATTCATTTATCATAAAAAGAAACTTTGAGGAAAAAACCTCCCAAACTAAAGATGGAGAAGATAAATCTGAAATGTGATAGATATCTTTCTATATGATGTCTCTGCCTGCTTCTTCCCACCCTCTCCTTGGTGCATTTGAAAATTAGTCCTGGAATTTGGAATTAAATAGATTTGATGAGTTGAGATATTTAAGGGAGCATTTCTTGCTTGAGAACCCATAAATGAGACTGAAAAATATGAGGCTGAATTTATTTCTTAGGCAAAGTGCATGTATGTAGAAAGAGCTTAGGCCTTTTTTTTTTTTTTTCTCTCCTCTTAAAATTGATTGTCTGAAGACTCCATTTATTGGTGTCCTGGTTTGCAAGGCAATTAGGCCCATCATTGTATTGCAGGCTAATAATCCTGAGATGAATCTTGGCACCACTGCTTTATGTAAACAGAGAAGACAGGAAATACAGAAATGTCATAAATATTCATTGGTGAAATGGTTTGGTATTGATGGAGTTTTTCATTTGATTCTCTTTTGACATTACTTGATAAGATTTAAAATAATTGGACTATATTTCTATAGATTGAATTTTCTTCTAAAGGAATTCAGATGGTCAGAATTCTGTCTGATGTGGCTAGGTAAAGCATATAGAATCATTTTTGTGGTTTTTTTAGGAGTTGGTGTTGATATAGGAACATTGCATTAACTGCAGAAGCAGTGTCTCCATCTATTCATCAGCAATTTTATTTAAAGCTTCATGATATGCTCATTCTTATGGCAGAATAGTGATCCTGGAAGGTAGAGAGGGGTGTGATTGGGGGGAAACAGTTTTAGGGAAACAATTTTCTCCACTTAATTGCATTAACTATGATATGTTAAATAGGAAGTAGCTGTTGATTAGAGCTCAGACTGAGAAAACATGAGGAGGGATGTAAAGAGGATAAAATTGGCATCAACAGGATCAAAATGATTTTTTGTTTGCTTGTTCAAGCTTCAGACTTCGGCTCGTAAACAATCCATTTTCCTTGGCTTTCACAGTTGAGCATGTAAAAATGCCCAATACTTAGAATCTTTTTGTTGTTGTTGTTGTTCCAAAATAGGTAGAATGATGGAAGATTTGACTTATCCTCAGGATTGAAAGTGTTTTGTTATAAGGAAGCTGTATTACAATAAAAACCAGGTTTGAGCAGTTACCTGTAATTCAGTGAGAGTGTAATCTAATGCAAGCATTTCTTCTCATAACTTTGGGGTGCAGACATTGCTTTTGCGGATCTGCAGGCTTGAGCTAGAGGTGAGATATTTATGTTAAAGCTCTAGCTTTTGAAAGCTCAAAATGAAAAGTAATCACCTGGGAGAAGCGTCTTGGTGGATTTTTCCCCCCTCACAGCTGTGGGCACCTGTGCAGTAGAAATGTATATAAAGTGTGTGTTTAATTCTTCTGATATTCTGGTAAGAAGGAGAGAGCAGATGGAAGTATTGATAGGCCCCTCGGTAGAATGAATAGTCTGTGAATTTAGGGGTGCAGAGTCCTGGGTTCAAATCCCCATTCTACCTATTGATAGCTGAGCGATTGATTTCAGTAAAGTCATTAAAAACCTTTCAAACTTAGTGGTAATGGTTGCACAACATTGTGAATGTACGTCTCCTGAATTGCACACTTAAAAATGGTTAAAATAGTAAAAACAAACAAACACTTTTATGTTTGGCAAGGCCATCAAGGGAAACAAATCAGTTCATGTCCTGAAATAACGTTATGCCTTGAAAACACCGTATGTATATGAACTATTTGTTCAATGTTTATTTACTTATTGCCTGCTAAGTGCCAGGGAAATAAAAATGAACAAAAAACAGTTGTGAAGGAGTCTTTCGTTGTTGGGAGAGATAGATGAATTAAATATAGTGAGAGGGGAGCCTGGGTGTCTCAGTCAGTTAATGCCCAACTCCTGGTTTCTACTCAGGTCATGATCTCCTGGTTTGTGGGATTGAGCTCCATGTTGGGCACTGCGTTGACAGCACGGAGTTTGCTTGGGATTCTCTGTCTCCCCTTCTGCCCCTCCCGTTTGTGCTCTCTCTCTCTCTCTAAATAAATAATCTTAAATTGAGAAAAGTGAGGCATAACTTGGTGTGGTGAAAGGTGTGGCTTCTGAATTGAGTCCACCATATACTGCTAGCTGTGTGACCTTGGGCACAATAGTCTTATCTGTAAAGTGGGCATGAGAGAACTAATTTTAATTTCATAGGGTTGTTTTGAGGATTAAACAAAATAATCCATGGAAAGTATTTAACATAGTGGGTTGATTACATAGTACATATTAAAAAACATTAATTGTTGGGGCGCCTGGGTGGCGCAGTCGGTTAAGCGTCCGACTTCAGCCAGGTCACGATCTCGCAGTCCGGGAGTTCGAGCCCCACATCGGGCTCTGGGCTGATGGCTCAGAGCCTGGAGCCTGTTTCCGATTCTGTGTCTCCCTCTCTCTCTGCCCCTCCCCCGTTCATGCTCTGTCTCTCTCTGTCCCAAAAATAAATAAACGTTGAAAAAAAAAATTTAAAAAAACATTAATTGTTGCCATTATTATGAGACAAGAAGGTATTAGAATGTAAATAGCCTTGTGTGTCCTACCATTGAGTTCTTGGTATAATGATGTTCTATAATTTAATAAAGAGGGCTTACTTTGTATTATCATCTCACAGTTTGTCTATTTACATGTTTGTACTGTAGTCTAGGAACTTTAATCAGTAAAGTGCTAAACATATGTTAGCTGTAGCTTCCTCGTCTATAAAATAAGAAGAAAAACTGCTCTGAGGGTTTAAATGAATTGTTTAAGGTCACAGTAAATGGAAAAGTCTGGGTTACAGCCCCCAAATTCTGATTTTCCAACCCTGTTTGTATCTTCTTTTTACATTGCAGAATAAATCGTATGTATAAAGGTGCGTATAATATACATCTTTATTTTAAAGTATGGTAACAAATTGAAGACCTATCTTTTTCCTACTTAGCTGAAAAAGGAAATTTTTAGTACCTTTAAAGCCTTTTGTTATTCCCTGCCTGATTGAATCTCTCTCCTTGTCTATTCCTCATAAGTAACTGCTTTCCTGAATTTTGTGTGGATCGCTTTCTTGTCTTTATAGTTTTAGCAAACAAGTGCATATCTTTAAACAATTTATTTTTTTACTGTTGCAATTTTATGTAAATAGAATCATAGTGTAAGTATTGTCTGGCCATATTCTTATCATTCTTATTTTTTTTCTACCATTAAAATAACATGCATGTGGTAGAAATTGGAAATTACAAAAAGTAAAAGGAAGCGGGGCGCCTGGGTGGCGCAGTTGGTTGAGCGTCCGACTTCAGCCAGGTCACGATCTCACGGTCCGTGAGTTCGAGCCCCGCGTCGGGCTCTGGGCTGATGGCTCAGAGCCTGGAGCCTGTTTCCGATTCTGTGTCTCCCTCTCTCTCTGCCCCTCCCCCGTTCATGCTCTGTCTCTCTCTGTCCCAAAAATAAATAAAA